GGGAGAGGGAGAAGCAGGCTTCCCATGGAGCAGGGAGCCCAATGCAGGGCTCGATCCCAGGACTCTGGGATCATGACCTGACCCAAAGGCAGACACTTAACTGTCTGAGCCACCCAGGTGCCCCTCTACCAAACATTTAAAGAAAAGTTAATACCTATTCTTCTCAAAATGTTCCAAAAAATAGAAATGGAAGGAAAACTCCCAAACACATTCTACAAGGCCAGCATTACCTTGATTCCAAAACCAGTCAAAGACCACACTAAAAAGGATAATTAAAGGCCAATATCCCTGATGAACATGAATGCAAAAATTTTCAACAAGATACTAGCAAACCGAATCCAACAGTACATTAAAACAATTATTCACCATGATCAAGTGGGATTTATTCCTGGGCTGCAAGGGTAGTTCAATATTTGCAAATCAATCAAAGTGACATGCTACATTATTAAAAGGATAAGAACCATACAATCCTGTCAAGAGATGCAAAAAAAGCATTTGACAAAATATAGTATCGATTCTTGATAAAAACCCTCAACAAACTAGGGATAGATGGAAGATACCTCAACATCATAAAGGCCATATACAAAAGACCCACAGTTAATATCATCCTTGATGGGGAAAAATGAAAGCCTTTCCTCTGTGGTCAGGAACAAGACAAGGGTGTCCACTCTCATCATTGTAATTTAACATAGTACCAGAAGTCTTAACCTCAGTAATCAGACAATGAAAAGAAATAAAAGGTATCCAAATTAGCAAGGAAGAAGTCAAACTTTCACTATTCACAAACAATATGATACTCTATGTAGAAAACCTGAAAGACTCCACCAAAAAATTGCTAGAATACAGGAATTCAGCAAAGTTGCAGGATACAAAATCAACATAAAGAAATCTGTTGCATTTTTATACACCAATACACCTTTGATCAAGGAATCAAATACCATTTACAGTTGCATTACAGTTTACATTAACTTTCCTAGGAATAAGCCTAACCAGAGTAAAAGATCTGAACTCTGAAAACTATAGAACACTTATGAAAGAAATTGAAAATGACACAGAGAAATGGAAGAACAAATATTGTTAAAATGTCTATGCTACCCAAAGCAATCTACACATTTAGTGCAATTCCTATGAAAATACCACCAGCATTTTTCAAATAGGTAGAACAAACAATCCTAAAATTTGTATGGAACCACAAAACACCCTGAATAGCCAAAGCAATCTTGAAAAAGAAAAAGCTGGAGGCATCACAATTCCAGATTTCAAGTTATATTACAAAGCTGTAGTCATCAAGACAGTCTGGTACTGGCACAAAAAGAGATGAATAGATCAATGGAACAGAATAGAGAACCCCGAAATGGACCCACACTATATGGTAACTAATCTTTGACAAAGCAGGAAAGATTAATGGAAAAAAGACAGTCTCTTCAACAAATGGTGTTAGGAAAACTGGACAGCTACATGTAAAAGAATGAAACTCGATCACTTTTATACACCATACACAAAAATAAATTCAAAATGGATTAAAGACCTAAATATGAGACAGGAAACCATCAAAATCTTAGTGGAGAAACAGGCAGAAACCTCTTCGACATTGGCCATAGCAACCTTACTAGACAAGTCTCTAGAGGCAAGGGAAACAAAAGCAAAAATGAACTATTGGGATTTCATCAAGGTAAAAAGCTGCACAGTGAAGGAAACAATCAACAAAACTAAAAGGTAGCCTATAGAATGGGACTTCTCCCATTTGCAAACGACGTATCTGATAAAGGGTTAGTATCCAAAAATCTATGAAGAACTTATCAAACTCAACACCCCAAAAATAAATAATCCAGTTAAGAAACAGGCAGAAGAGGGGCACCTGGGTGGCTCAGTCATTAAGCGTCTGCCTTCGGCTCAGGTCATGATCCCACGGTCCTGGGATTGAGCCCCACATCGGGCTCCCTGCTCCGCGGGAA